CCGGAAGAACGTTACTCAATTTCAAGGACATTAGAGATAACAATTACCATGCTGAAACCCACGTAGAAAACGGAGTTGAATTTCTATGCATAACTTTCTACGAATATGGCCAGAAGCGTATTCTAGAGAAGATGGAGCGTATTCCGAGTGGTCTGTTTACTACGATCATACGCCCCATAGAATGCCACTATGTGGCCGGCCCTACCACAGGGACCGCGCACGAAATTACACTTTGGCATGATCATTTGGGACATCCTGGACGAATAGCGATGCGCCGTATCCTCAAATCTTCACACGGGCATCCACTAACCCGAAGCTTAGGTTCAATCCATGAAATTGCATGTCCAACATGTTCTATGGGAAAGCTTATTACTAAGCCTTCTTATGACAAGATTCGTTCGAATCCTCCCATTTTTCTACAACAGATTCAGGGGGACATTTGTGGACCGATTCAACCTCCCTGCGGACCATTTAGATATTTTATGGTTTTGGTTAACGCTTCCACACGTTGGTCACACGTGTGCTTGTTGTCCACAAGGAACGCTGCATTCTCCAAAATGTTGGCTCATGTTATCAAGCTCAGGGTTCGCCACCCTGATTATCCCATCAAATCTATTCGATTGGATAATGCTGGAGAATTCACATCTAAAACTTTTGATGACTATTGCCTGTCGGTTGGTGTTGAAGTTGAACATCCTGTACCCTATGTTCACACCCAGAACGGCCTGGTAGAGGCTTTTATTAAGCACTTACAAATAATTGCTCGATCGTTGGTCATGCGTACCAAACTCTCGATCCCTGCTTGGGGCCATGCAATATTGCACGCAGCAAAGTTGGTCCACCTGAAGCCTGTTGCGACACAACCATTTAGTGCCCTTCAGTTGGTCACCGGATGATTGCATATTCGCGTCTTTGGTTGTGCGGTATATGTGCCGATCTCACCACCCTTACGTCCCAAAATGGGGCCTTAGGGAAGGATGGGAATCTATGTCGGATATGATTATCCTTCGATTATTTGTTACTTGGAACCTTTGACAGGCGATCTGTTTACCACTCGTTTCGTGGATTATCACTTCTATGAGACAGTATTCGCGTCGTTAGGGGGAGGTAAGTTGGTGTTGGAAATGTGCCCTAAAACCAATCATATGATGATACTTTACGGACATTTCACATGTTAAACTAATCTAGTTTAATATCGCGAATTATCATGGATGACTCCCACTTTGTCGCATTTAGATCCCCGCACCGCTCAGTCCAAAGCTGAAGTGCAGCGCATATTAGATCTCCAGAGCATAGCTTAGAGCATGCCAGATGCTTTCACCGATCTAGCGCACGTGACAAGATCACATATTCCAGCTGCGAATATGCCTGCAAAGATGGATGTACCAAATGTACGACGGACTGCCCTTCTGGAAACCCGGGACGCCAATTCTGGTGATCCACGTACATTAGCGGCTAGTCAATCATCTGCCTCTACATAAAAGCGTGGCAGACCCCTTGGTTCAAAGGATTCACACCTCTGGAAGAGGAAAACCATAGCACAAGATCCTGAAGAGCCTACCGTGAATCCGACTATCGCTTACTCATTCTACCCAACTCATGAGGAAATTCTAGATTACAGAAGCATCTTTGAAGAGACGAATTCTCCTCCTGAGAATCCTGAGATTTCGGTCTATTATGCTAGCTTAGATGATGTGTGGTGTAGAAATGAGATGATTGTCGACGATGCATTAGCATTTACAGTAGCTACTGAGATCATGTTGAGCGATGACATTGAATCGTGTTCCGTTGATGAATGTTGACATAGAGCTGATTGGTCAAACTGGAAACAAGCAATCCAAGTCGAACTCGATTTGTTGAGCGATGACATTGAATTGTGTTCCGTTGATGAATGTTGACATAGAGCTGATTGGTCAAACTGGAAACAAGCAATCCAAGTCGAACTCGATTCACTTACGAAACGTAAGGTGTTGGGACCTGTAGTTCCTACTCCTCCACATGTGAAGCCCGTTGGCTACAAGTGGATTTTCATTCAAAAGCGTAATGAGAAGAACGAGATTTTGCGTTACAAAGCTCATCTTTTAGCATAAGGTTTCTCACAACGCCCCGGGATTGACTATGAAGAAACTTACTCACCCGTTATGGATGTGATTACTTTTCGCTACCTTATCAGTTTGATAGTTTCCGAAAAACTGGATATGCAACTAATGGACATAGTAACCACGTATCTCTATGGGGATCTTGATACGGAAATTTGTATGAAAATTCCTGAAGGACTTACATTGACTGGTTCAAATATTTCCAAATCCCGGAACACGCTCTCAATTCGGCTGAGGCGTTCACTCTACGGTTTGAAACAATCTGGAAGAATGTGGTATAACCATCTGAGTGAGTATTTGACTAGTCAGGGATATGTTAACAACAAACTATGCCCTTGTGTGTTCATTAAGAAGTCACATTCCGAATTTGCAATTGTTTCACACCTGATATGAATCTTATCGAAACTTTTGAAGAGCTCTCGAAAATTGCTTCGCACCTGAAGTCAGGATTTGAGATGAAAGATCTAGGTAAAACTCGATATTGTCTCGATCTCGAGATAGAGCATTGTTTGGATGGAATCCTAGTACATCAATCGAACTACACTCAGAAAGTGTTGCGCCGTTTTAATGAGGATAAAGCGAAGTCTTCGAGTACTCCTATGGTTGTTCGTACGCTAAATGCAAAATGAGATCTCTTCCATCCGAAGGAGGATGATGAAGAGATTTTGGAGCTTGAAGTTCCTTATCTAAGTGCGATAGGCGCTTTATTGTACTTAGCTCAATGCACTAGACCCGACATCTCATTTGCTGTTAATCTTTTGGCAAGATACAACAATGCACCAACACGCAGACACTGGATTGGCGTGAAAGACATCTTCCGTTACCTTAAGGGTACTACAGATTTGGGCTTGTTCTATCCCTACGAATCCTCGAGTGATGCCACACCCTATGCTCATCGGGTTTATTCTCGCCTTGTTGGTTATGCCGACGCTGGATACTTATCTGATCCGCACAAGGCGGGTTCTCAAACGGGTTATGTCTTTACCTTTTGAGGCACCGCAATCTCTTGGAGGTCAACTAAATAGACCTTAGTTGCCACTTCGTCTAACCATGCTGAAATTCTCGCCTTCCATGAAGCAACTCGAGAATGCTTTTGGTTAAGAGCAGTAGTAGGCCATATTCGAAGCTCCTGCGATCTTCATCTCGCCGTTAATGCCCTGACGACGATTTTGAGGACAACACATCTTGCATCAAACAGCTCAAGAAGGGTTACATCAAAGGAGACAATACCAAGCACATTGCGCCGAAGTTTTTCTTTACACATCAACAACAAGAGCACCAGAAGATTGAAGTCACCCAAATCCGTTCACAAGACAATCTGGCCAACCTCTTCACCAAATCACTGCCGAAGGCGACGTTTCAGAAGCTTGTTCATGGAATTGGTATGCGTAAACTTGCTGAGTTGTAACTTTGCTATTTCTCTTTGAAATTATGTCAAACTCAGAGGGTGCTTGATCTTAATGTACTCTTTTTCCCTACGATTAGGAGCATTTTTCCCAATGGGTTTTTCCTACCTAACTAGGTTGTAACGAGGCAGCCACCTTAGGCTGGTCATATCCCTAATGACGTCCTGTAGACGTTTCTTTTGACTTTGCATTTCTCATACATTTTTCCTTAGACTATGGATTTTGTCCCTACTAGGGTTTTTGCCATAGCCTTAGGGTTTTTTAGTGAGACTTACTACTTATGCAAGTTCCTACCTTATTGAGAATAAGCGTTGTTCCTTGGAATTAGTGCCGATGAGTCGACTTCCTCAACTTCTGCATGATGCTGAATCTACCTTGAGTATTTACACACTCAAGGGGAAGTGTTGTGAACATTCCTAGTTTAAGTATGATTGTGTAAATCCTAGATTAGATTTGATTCTAGTTATCCTTTCCTATTACAACTTGTATTACTTGGAGAAGAAGGAATATCTTCTCTCCCTTTACTACTATAAATAAAGGCACAATGTAGGAGGGATAACAACACACATTCCCCTACAATTCTACAAACACACATCTCTCTTCCCTCTCTCCTGTGCCGCCGGCCCCTCTCCCTTTGTCAGATAAAAATAGACCACAACAGTTACATAATTTTTATAATAAAAATTAGTAATTGATTTAGAGTTTTAATACTCACACCCTTATTAAACTTCTATTAATTTCAATTCAAACATTTCCAAAATATAAAAAATAAAATCAGAATAAGTTTGTACCCATTAAATTTTTATAAAAGAATGATATGTACCCATTCTTATATATACCAATTTGTTATATGAAAAATGTACCCTTTTTTTAATATAAAATGTATCCATTTTTCATATAAAATTCATTTAATCTTTTCTCTAATCCATTTTTTAAACTTATATGGGTACATTCTATTTTGTTGATTTAAGAATGTATCCATGTCAAGTTTAATAGAAGAAATGCTTTTTTTTTTTTTTTTTTTTTGTGTTTTTGAAAAATGTACCCATGTTTTGGTACAATAATGTTTTGGTTAGTTTTTTATGAACGTACCCATGTATACACATAATATATTGGAGAGTATAATTTATCTTTAATATTTTTAATCCCATAAATTATGAGTTTTTATTTAGAATCTCACTAGCCTCTCTGCACGCACTAACGTGCGTGCGAGAGGCATTTTTGCATCACGGGCGCTACGCGCCCCTAAATGTGTATTGTGTTAGTTTTTTTTCCATTGTAATTGTTAATGTATATGGTTTAGAAAGTATGATATGGCTGCACATAATAGGAAGCAATAAATTTGAAGTTGTTGACGTGGATACTCTCTCACACACAGCAGTGCCTATTACAGTGTCCTCACGCGCGTGCGAAAGACACTTTTTTCATCACGGCGCGCTACGCGCGACTTACACATTTTAGATGTATTTATATGCGAGGATTGGTTCAATGTATAGAAACATAAAATAAAGACGATTATCATCTCTAATAATACAGGTAGTAATTTAAAGTATTTATCTAGAATTTGTAAAAAAAAAAAAAGTAATAAATAACATAGAAGATCCTTATAATTTAGCTGCAACTAAAAGCTAAGTAAAAAGTATAAAAACAATCCAAGAACTTCAATTGGCCTTGATACACTTGACGGTTCTTCATATCATGAACTCATATCGCCGTCCTGTTGAAAATTTAATGCGTTCGGTTAGAATCAAATATTAGCATTATTTGTAATTGAATTGCATTAAAATTTGAAAACGGGAATTAAACATTAAAAGAAAGAATATAACCTTATGTTGAATTCGAGGGAAGCAAAATATCTTTGTACACAACATTCTTTGTGAAGACTCCTTCATGACCGTGTAATTCTCCTTTCTTTACCAAGACTTTTGTTGTAGACGCTGATACTCCTCTTGATAAAGCCACGTACAATTGTCCATGACTGAATACGTGATCTGGTAGATAAATACACACATTTGGTATTGTCTGCCCTTGTGATCTGCTAGTGCGAAAGACATTTTTTTAATTACGGCGCACTACGTGCGACTTACACATTTTAGATGTACTTATATGCGAGGATTGGTTCAATGTATAGATGATGTAGTGATGACCTGGTGGAAGATATACCTGACAATTTCACATTTTCAAACGTGTATACTATCAAGACCGTGGACATTTTACCTGACAATTTCATATGTGTGTGTGCATGTACAGACGCATATATGTTAATACTTTTTTGGCTTCAATTATTAATGTTTTTGTTTTATTCCTTAATGTTAATCTTCGCATGCATTTTCACATGAAACTCATATAGAGAATTCCACTAAAAATAAATAGGTAAGAAATGGTGTTGTACCTAATTTGTTGGACTTTATTCCGAATATGTATGATGTGAGGAGTTGTTGAAGGTTTTAATTCTTCTACAGCCATTTTCATGCTCCACCTATATATTGAAGGTATACATAAAGTTAGAATTTCTTATAACAAATTTGATAAAGAATTTAGAATACATAACAATAAAGACGAATTTAAGCTCAGTACCTTTAAGGAATATGAGTCGATGAGTGCCTAATAAACATGCAGGCGAAAATTACTTAGTAAATAAGAACATTTCGGGTATCGCATTGGGTGGAAAATTAATTAGTAAATAAGAGTAAGCCAGGTTGAGCCGGTAAACTTAGACCATTTTATACCTTTCTCGCCTGGGCATTTCATAATCATGTCAAGAAAAAATTATTATTGTCCCTCTGTGCAGCCAAATTGCAACACTGTTTCAAAAAACACATCCGAAATTCAGAAACCCTAAGTTTATTTATGCAATGAAAAATTCAAAAAAAAAAATCAATAAATTAAATAATTAATTAGTCTGATCGCTTGTATTAGGAATTTGAGGATATATTAGGTACTGAACCCCACTTATGAAACTCTGCATAAAATTACATGCGCAGATAACCCAACTCCACTCCATACAGATCAAGCATGCATCTTATTGGTTCTCAAATCTGGTTGCGCATAAGATCCCCAACAACAAATAACTCCTCCCTTGACGGAGGAGAGACTGCCACCTTTTCTACACAAAATTATCAACATTAATTAACAAAATCAAAGAGAGTAACAATTCTAACTTTCACTTGATAAAACCAAAAAAATAATCTGAATGCAATGGCAACTTAAAAGATTGTAAGGGTCAATTTGGTTACCTCTAAAGTCTTGGAAAATTTGAACGTAAACTCATTATTTCTGTATCATCACAACCATACAAATTGAAGAGAACTATGCAACCATTGGCAATATAAAGCTTTAAACTTTCTCCAACAAATGAAATCACAGGACTCGAATTTAAAGCATGGAGCTAAGGCTAAACGTACCAAAATACCCATGATCTTTCATAACACACTGCCCCTCTCCATCAACCTTCACTAACTCATCTCTCTTAAACTCCTCAAGTCCTTCCCACTGCCAAGAACCAGAGTAAATCCTTCCTCCGCCGCGACCAGCAACTTCACTTTGTCACTCCAGAACCCTGACTTCGCCCGGCAAAACCTCGCCACACCTTCACAAAACCACATCAGTAGAAGATAAGAGAACAAATAAATAAAAATCACAAACCTACAATTTAGAGCATTGAATTTGAGAAAAAGATACTAATGACACCACTTTTCGTTTTGAGCGTATGGGAGAAAAGGATGAGATTTAGGCTGAGGAGGTCAACTGATTTTTTTGATTCAAACGTGCAATTGTAGTGGATGTGAAACTGATCTCTGTTTGAGGGAAGAAATGGTTAATTGAGAGAGGTTATTGAGAAAGTGGGGGAATCAAACGGTTGAAACGATACACCACCTTTATTTTTTTCACTCACGTCTTTTTTCTTTCTTTTTCCTTTTTTTTAGCTTTTTAATTTTTTTTATTTCCCATTTGTCTATTTTTTATGACAAAATTACCCTTGCGAATTTGTTTCTATTATTTTCGGCCAGTTGTGATTTTTTTTGTTTCGGGGGTTTTTTTGTCCAAAAATTTTTGGTGAAGCCTTGAGACACCAAACTCTCCTTCTGGCTTTCTAATATTAATTAAAGATTAATATAAATAATTACAAATTTTATTTTTAGTTTAAAAATAAAATAACCTACATAGAAATACGTTATTACATTAATGTCAGGGACTTTAATCGAAAACTAAAAAACACAAAAATTTTAGTCAAAGAATATTAATAATTAGGGACCGCATCCAAAATGTATATATATATATATATATATATATATATATGTACACATACTCCACGATTCATTGGTTAATGAATCGAGTTTAAAGGCCAAATATTCATATTTCACTCTTGTAAAATTTACATTCCACTTTTATTCATATAGTTTCAGTTTGGGAAACAATTAACCATGTACTTACAAGATGTAGCAATCTACGAAAAACTGTACGGTTTTCACCGCTTTTTATATTAGTTTCTAAAGCACAAGAGTATTAAAAGTCAAGATAATTGATGCAATGCAACAAAGAGAATAATAAAAGGTTTTTTCTGTTAAAGTCAATAGATTCTTTTGTATTTAGGGATATATCAGGAGTAAATTTCATTTTTGGGCTAGATTAATGAATTATTTTTATTAATTATTTTAAGATCAAAGGCATAGGGCTCGTGTTTTATGTGCTTTCTTAGTTTGTGCATGAAAAGTACTATTTAACCTATATTAAGATTAAAAGAATATTCTGTACTCTCTCTCCTTCACTTCTCTGACTCTTGCTCTTGATAACCCAAACAAATTTATGAAATTACAAGAAATAGACACGATCTTTACCGCAAACGCCAATCAATTTTGTTTTGAATCTATTCGATTTCATCTTAAATCCTTTTAATTCGCTGTGAGATCCGTTTGCCTTCACCGCCACTGCTATATCACTTTCTGGTGGTGGCCACGCAAATTGGTTGGAAGATATGGGTTTGTCTCCTCAATTTCAAGTTCAAGAAATTGAATGGTGTTTGTGGAGCCACCGCACAAGAGGAGGATGATGATAAGGTCGCCGAGCTTGTAGTTGTGGTTGGGGAGACCTTTGAAGCTGTTGTGGATGAGAAAGACAGAGCTAAATCAAGCTTTTAGGGAATTTCAAATGGATTTTGTTTTATTATATACTTTCAATAGGAATTTTCTGATTTTGTTTTTGTCTTGTTCATGCTTGATGGGTTCTCCTTGTGATACACCGGGCAATAGTTCTAGTTTACTACTGGAAAAAAGAAAAAAAATTGTGGGGTAAGTGGGAAGGGCACACGAATTGTGTAATATATGACTAAGACTATTTTTTTTGAAGCCTATCGGAGCTAGAAGGACGACAAAATTGGTAGTTCAATGATGGAAGCAGAGCCTTTGACTGGGTTTAAGGAGTTCAAGTGGCAAAGTGTGGGAACTCTGCATTGCAATTTCTGTTTCACAATGCAAACTGCAATGCAGAGTCTGAATTTACTACAACATCATGATTGACATGATTCCTTCCAAACCATCAATGACCTCCACGAAATCATGAAGTGGATAATGGCGGCAAGGTTTGGGAAGGAGTGGTTGCACGTGTATATCAACTAGTAAAGAACTAAGAAACGGACACTGCGATGGAGCGTCAAAATTAAAATGTAAAAAGTAGAATTAGGAATACAAATGTAGAAAAACAAAACAGGCAACGCAGTGTCTGAATCCAAACGTAAAAAATAGATCTACAAAATGGACACTACACCGCAGCGTCTGAATTCAAATATTAAAAAATAAAAAAATAAACAGATACAGGAAATGGACACTGCATTGAAGTGTCTAAATCTTTATGTAAAAAAACATAACAGGAAAAGGACACATCGTTGCAGTGTCTAAATTCAAATGTGGAAATCAGCAATCACGTGTGGTGTTAAGCATAGAAGGCATGTGAGTGATGAAAAAAATAGAACTAGGAAATAGACACTTCAACGTAGTGTCTGAATCGAAAATAAAAACTAATACCAAGAAACAGACACTGCATTACAATGTCTGAATTCAAATGTAAAAACGGGCATGTATGAGGCATGTGAGTGATGGAAAAAACAAAACTATGAAATGGACAATGCAACACAGCGATTGAATCCAAATGTAAAAAACAGACACTCCAACTCTGATTTGTGTTATTCCAAAACTTGGGTTGTATTTTGGCGATCTTTTCATATTATTCCACTTCTGAAGAACTCTACCCTGAGTAATCAACCGGATATAATGACTCATTTCATTAACCGAATCATGCTACGTGGTAGCAGAAGTGTAAAGGTTTTAAATCTCAAGGGCCGTAGGCAAAAGAGCTTTGAAGAAAGCTTTAAGTTGTAGCTGAGGAACTCAGAGTCTTGCTAAAGAGTATTTGAAGGTTGTGTTTAAAGGCAGTTACGTTGATTGAAGAATCGCTTGACGTTTTTCATTGTACAGATTGAATTTGATGAAGGGTTTGAGTTTGGAAGCCTGTCTGACTATTTATAGGAATCTGGAGGAACATCCTTGATCTTATTGCTAAGCTAGAGTAGGGGTAGATAAGTCTTTTGACGTTGGAAATAACTGCATTCCTTCGTAGGTGCCTTGCCTATGCGTTTCTGCCGTTTACATGTTGTTGTGTTGTCATCAGCCATGTCTAGTAATGCGTCTTTGGTCATTTACGTGGTAGACGTGGTTTTAGGATGAGTAAACCCAAGTTCTTGAGAGACCATGAAGTACTGAGAAGAGGTCATGACAAGCCCTAAATAACTAGTCCGAGTTGAGCTTTGAAGTTAGTGGGCTAGTGTCACACGTTTTTACTTAAATAAAAATTAATTTTCCTCGTAATAAACCTAATTTTCACTTTTACACAATGACTATTGTAACAACCAATTGGACAATAAAAAAACTCACAAGTGGTTCCCTCCGGCCAAATCGACTAGAAGTTGTGAAACAACTCATCGCACTACTTTGGAATTCCAAATTCATCATACTACTTTGAAATTTCAAACATGATAAGCTGTAAAAAGTATTGAAAACATTTTAGGTTCATGCTTTTGTTATTAGAAATTGAATTCAAATTAAAAAACATGCTCCACATGAAGTGGTGCCTCTTACTGAAAGGGTGCAAATATGGTTTTGAAGGGTTTTCAAACCCCTTCAAAAATGGACACTTGAGTCTATAAATAAAGGACGAATTTTTTAGTTTATTACCTACAAAATCACATACAAGTGCTACATGAAAAATATTTCCATTCTTCCCACCTTTTCTTAGAAAAGCACCGTATATATACTCTACAGTTTTTGTTCTTGCTTTCCGCTTGAGTTTTCTTGTTATATTTAGTGTATATGAGGTTCGTCTTAGGAGTAAGCAAAACTTTGACAAACAAAAAGCGTTATCCCAAACTTTAATTTATTCACAAGGCTAATTTGCAGCTCCCTTTTGAACACAAATTGTGGGTTAATTAAAAGTCTGAAAGACAACGCCATAATATATAATGAAACAATCTTTTCATCATACTTTCTTCTACATAACCATAACTCATTAGTCTTAATTATCCAGCATTCTGGTGTAATGTTGATAATAATATTTATGTCTTTTTTTGTTTTTATATTGTTTTAATAGGAAACTTCAATCTAATCCTTGGCAAAGATGACTTTTAGACTAAAATCATGAGTAAGATCAACATATAATTTAAGTCCCTTGATACATTAATAACCTCATTTATTAATTACATTTGCATTTTTTAATTATTTCTCATTTTCTTCCTAATTTTAATGTATTAATTTTATTTCATTATAATTATAATTTTCATTTCATTTATCGTAATATATTTTGTTGTAAACATTTAGATAAACTAATTTTTGTTATACAATATATTTCAATGTACATTGTGTTCTTCATTTAGGTACATTAAATTCATTATAATACATTTCGGTGCATACATTTAGGTACACACATTTCGGTACATATATTTCGATACAATCATTTAAGTACATTAATTCAATATAATATATTTTGGTACATACATTTCGGTACTAACATTTCAGTGAATACATTTCGGTACACACATTTAGGTACATTAATTTAATATAATACATTTCGGTGCATATATTTCAATACATACATTTTAGTACTAATATTTAAATACATTAGTTCAATATAATACATTTCGGTACATACATTTAGGTACATTAATTGAGTTTTTCAAGTTTGAAGAATGTTAAATAAAATTAATTAATTTAAAAAAAACTTTTTTTTGGTAAAAAAATAAATTAAAATTTGTATATTAATAAATTTAAATATTTAATGGGAGACATTAAATAAAATGCACATTAATTATTTTGAATTAAGGACACATCAAGGGACTATAATCTACATGTAATCTAGCATAAGGTTTATTTTAAATTTCAATTTTCTTGAAGGATTAAAGTTAAACCCCCCCCCCCAAAAAAAAATGGAAGACTTTTTAAAATATTTGTCTAATGAGAATTAAACTATATAAAAATTTATACAGACAATCACAAAACCAAACGGGTAAACTAATATGCAGACACAATAAGCAATATACATAATAAAGGTACATGAATATATATATATATATATATATATATATATAGGTGCATATATATATAGGTACACATATATACATAAGTTTATACGTATAGGTACACAAATGTATATATAGGTGCATATATATCGGTACATAAATATATATTTATGTACATATGCATTGTGACAATCCGTCCCTAATTTTACATTTTTATTAATTTTAAAAGCGTGAATTTACGAAAATGC